ATTATTTTATCTGTACGATCAGGGAAAGTAATTTCTATCTTCACAAGTCATTATGAGGATGTAGCAAAGTTGCACACATTAGCCAAGTATTTCAAGTGAAACATAAGACTTGTTTCAAACACCTAATAATAACCAGGACTTAGGAGACAGGATAGAATGGGAGGAGGATATGGGTAACCAAGAAAGAATGGAGGGATGGATGTGACATGGTAGGGAGAATGAGACAAAAAGACAGCTCTGTCTGAGGGCGTGATGCACTGAGCATCTCCTCATTTCACTCCAGATCAGTGTCTGAGCTCCAGGGAGGGAATGGAATGCAAATGTATTTAAAAGTGGGGTTTACAGGATGCCTGAGTAGCTCAACAGTTGGGCACCTGCCTTCAGCTCAGATCATGATCCCGGGATCCAGAATCGAGTCCTGCATAGGGCTCTCTGTGAGGAGCCTGCTTCTCCTTCTGCCTATGTCTCTGCCTCTCCCTCTCAGTCTGTGTCTCTCATGAATAAATAAATAAATCTTTTTTTTTAAAGTGGAGGTTACACATATACACATTTTTGCATAATGTGGGACAGGAAATGACCAGGGCCACCATGGTAGAAGAGAAGGACCTTCAAGGATATTCTTTTTCTCCGAAAAGAAGAATGAAGAAGCCAACATTATTTGGTCAACACTCTTGAGATGCATCCTAGGTGCCAGAATGAGAAGGCAGGCATTATTAAACAAGGAACTGTCAATAAAGCAGCAATATAAGGCAAGGAGAGAATGGAGAAAGCATTCAGAGAAATTTGCAGCATCTCACATTCATTTTTTACCTCATATTATGTGCCAACCTTTAGGATGCCCTTTGAAAGCTTACACTCCTATTTGCTAACTCAATAGAATTTTCTTTCCCCTTTGACAGATTAGGTGAGAGATGAGATCTCAAATGATTACAGAGCACTTTCACTTTATTTTTTTTTCTTTGACTATAGTTGGCACACAATGTTACATTAGTGTCAGATGTACAATATAGTGATTTGACAAGTTTATACAGTATGCTATGCTCACCACAAGGGTAGCTACCATCTATCACCATACAATACTATGGTAATATCATTTACTATATTCCCTAGGCTATAGACTTTTATTCCCATGAGTTATGCATTCCATAACTGGAAGCCTGTATCTCCTACTCCCTTTCACCCATTTTTCCCAAGCATCCACCATACCCTAACTTCTGGCAGCCATCAATTTGTTCTCCATAGTTATAGGTCTGATTATATCTTTTGCTTGTTCACTCATTATTTTTTAGATTCTACCTATGAGTGAAATCTTATGGTATTTGTCTTTCTCTGACGGACTTATTTCGCTTAGCATAATACCCTCTAGTTCCATCTATGTCATTACAAATGGCAAGATTCCATTCTTTTTGATAGCTGAGTAATATTCCAAGGTATGTGTCTGTATGTGTACCATTTATTTATCTATTCATCAGTTGGTGGACATTTAGACTCTTTCCATATTTTTGCTATAGTAGACAGTGCTGCTATAAACATTGGGATACATGTACCCCCTTCAAATCACTATTTTTGTACCCCTTGGATAAATACCTAGTACTCTGATTGCTATATCCTAAGGTAGTTCTATTTCTAACTTTTCTGAGTAAACTCCATACTGTTTTTCAGAATGGCTGTACCACTTTGCATTCCCACCAACAGTGTTAGAGGGTTCCCCTTTCTCTGCATCTCTGCCAAGGTCTGTTGTTTCCCGAGTTGTTAATTTTAGCCATTCTGATCAGTGGGAAGCAGTATCTCATCATGGTTTTGATTTGTATTTCCCTAATAAAGAGTGATGCTGAGCATCTTTTCACATGTCTGTTAGCCATGTGTATGTCTTCTTTGAAGAAATGTCTATTCATGTCTTCTGCCCATCTCTCAACTGGGTATTTTATTATAGGGGTGTTAAGTTTGATAAACTCTTTATAGATTTTGGATACTAGCCCTTTATCTGGTATGTCATTTGTGAATATCTTCTCCCCTTCTGTAGATTGCCTCTTAGTTCTGTTGATTGTTTCCTTCACTGTGCAAAAGATTTTTATCTTGATGAAGTACCAATAGTTCATTTTTCCTTTTGTTTCCTTGCTTCTGGCAGTATGTCTAATAAGTTGCTATGGCAAAAAAATAAAATAAATTAAATAAATAAATAAATACATAAATAAATAAATAAATAAATAAATAAATAAATAAATAAATAAATAAATAAAAGTTGCTATGGCTAAGGTCAAAGAGGCAAAAGAATGAAAGACTCTTTTGCTCTTTCTAGGTACGGGGGGGGGGGCAGTGTTTGGTGTTAGGTGATACCCACCTCCACTGGGGGCCCCTGTGTTGCTCTCTGAAGTCTCACTCTTGGTGGTGAGGTGGATAATGTCTCCACCCCACTCTCTTGTCCTCAGACAAGAGACCTCACACACCCTGCAGTTCAAGAAGCCCTCACAGAATAGGGAGGGTCATGAGCACACCCAGCGCCATAGCTGTCCTGCGTTTTATCTTTGGCACAAATCTGGGATTCAAAATGCCAAACCATAAAGGAGCTGGCACCCTGTGGAACCACTCTTCTCCTCCAGAGGATAGCCTTCCTGCCCTATGTCTGGTATCCTCTGTCCCAGAAAAACCCTCAGTCCCATGCCTGCACATAGCACAAAATCTATGGTGTGGCACTGCAAGAAAAGCAGCAACCCCGTTATCCACCCTCTGTGTATGGCCTCTGTTCCCTGCTCATGAAGGCCCTTGTGCTGGTGCCCTCAGGGTCTCTTGTCCTTGAAGAGGCACTATACCTTCTTCCAAATGTACTCCAGGAAGGGGTACACTGTCTCCCAATGCGATCCAGGAGATCCCTACACCAATGTGTGCACTCCGAGGACAGCACCCTCCTTCTCTCCAGGAGCTCACATTACAGTTCTGCTCTGGCAAAAGTCCCACATTTCCAAATCTTCAGAGTGTGAGCTCCACATGCTGTTTGCAAAAAACCTGCGACACTCAGTACCTCTCGCTCTTTAATCAGTCCTCTGAAGAGGTTTCCACCTTGTGTAGACTGAGGCCACACTCAACCTCTCTCTCTTTTCTCTCTCTGTGAAAGGATTCCCTCCTCTCCCTGGCACCTGTGAAAGTTTTCCTCTCCCCCAATTCGCTTCCTTGTACCTCATATCTGCCACACAGTCTCCCTCCAGCCATGGAGATCCTTCTCCCAGTCCTTGGATCTATTTCCTGGGTGTTCTAAGTGACTTGACCTCAATACAGCTATGTTTAAGGGACTAGAAAAGCCCAGAGTCCCCCTAATTCTCTGCCATCTTAATTCCCAACAGAAAGTCTTGGTTAAAGTACTTTTAGAAGGCCAAGCATAGGGCAGCCTGGGCGGCTCAGCGGTTTAGCGTCACCTTCAGCCCAGGGCCTGATCCTGGAGAGCCAGGATTGAGTCCCACGTCAGGCTCCCTGCATGGAGCCTGCTTCTCCCTCTGCCTATGTCTCTGCCTCTCTCTCCTCTCTGTGTATTCTCATGAATAAATAAATAAAATCTTAAAAAAAAAAAAAAAAGAAGAAGGCCAAGTGTATTAGTTCTTTCTGCGTTGCAAACGATCCCAAAGGTTCAGTGGCTTACAATAAAGAAAACGTCTATTTTTTTTCTCTCTCTCTCTCAGATAAATAAATAAATAAATATCTTTTTTTTAAAGTACTCTTTCATCTTGCCTTGAGCCTATAACACCATCATCCACTCTCCATATAAATGTACCTCATCTGCCTAAATTTGAAACTTCTCTTTGGTCCTTATTAGCCAAATTACCTTGGTCAAATCACCTAACCTCAGGCCCCAATTTCCTCATCCATAAGATGGGGAACATAAAGACCCAACTTATATGACTGCTGTGTATAGATAGGTAAGGTAATTTCAGTTATCTGTAAGCCAGCAACTTATTTACTTAAAATAGCTATTGATACACACTAACCAAGACCCTTTCTTTGATCCAAAATTAACTGATATATTGTATGCCTGCTCTGTCCCAGGCACAGTGATGGGGACACTAAAATACACCTGTCATTGAAAACCTCACAAATCATTATTACACAAAATGATAAACAAATCATTATCATATAAGATAGTAAATAGTATATCTGAGATCTGAATAAGATATTGCAGGCCCCCAGATAGGAGGAATTTATAGTATCTGGGAAAGATGAGAAAGGATTAACCAAAAAAAAAAAAAAGGTGAAACTTAAACTGAATATTCAGAAGGCTGAATAGAAGTACTCAAGACAGGGTGGAAGGGAAAGGACATTCTAGAACATGAATAGCATGTGTGTAACTTGTTAATGCCAGAATCAGTAGGTAATGTTATTTCGGTAACATCTACAAGAAAGTATGTTAGCTCCCCATGTTGATACTAAATTTATCCTCATCAGGAATTTGATGGCAGGATGGGGGCAGTTGTAAAATCCTCTCCTAAAAGGAACAGATGAAGCAAGCTTAATGGGATTGGGATAGCCTTTTCAGCCACTTGAAGCTTCTGTTCTCTTACATACAAGGGCTATCATTTGTGAGAGTAGATATCATGGAAAGAGAAAGTTACAGAGTTTCAAACCAAAAAATGGTTCCTCCCTAGAATATTGCACAGAACCACAGACTTGCTCTTCTGTGGTAAAGCCATCTTGTTAACTTTAGCATAAGTTTCTCTGTTTGTTTTTTATTCTTATCCCATAATAAAGCAGACAATATAGACAGTTCAACTTGGAGTAAACAGCCCCCCCCCCCCACTATTTTAAACAGCTACTGTTCTTCCCACAGGCCTTCTAAACACTCTACTTGATAATGCCTCTACTGGGAATTCCAAACAATAAAATATATGTGAATTATCTTTTAGAAGAAAGCACAGAAAGAAAATACTGATTCTTGTCCATTCTTACTCCCCCCAGTTAAAGAATACTTCCTATACTGCTTCTTGAGTTTCAAAATGGACATTTATTAAGAATACCTGAAAGAAGGTCTGAATGGTGCTCTCAGAACAAGACTCCCTTCATTTCTTCTCCCTGCAGTAGAAACATTTTATTAATACCTTCTCACATTTCCATGATATCTGCACATGACAGAGTACTTTTGCATTCATTGTCCATTTTAATTCTAAAAGTAATCTTGGAAAGAAAATAACACTTTTGCATATGAGCAAATTCTTTCTTCTGAAGGCTTTTCTTCTTGGCCTGTAGATCGTGATCTCCATGTCTCCTACATGGTCTTCCCTCTGTATGCATCTGTGTCCTAATCTCCTCTTCTTATAAGGACATCAGTCATTGCATTAGGGCCCATCCTAATGACCTCATTTAATCTTAATTAATCTCTTTAAAGACTTGATCTCCAAATGTAGTCACCTTCTAAGTACTGAGAGATAGGACTTCAACATACAAATCGGTGGGGACATAGTTCAGCCAATAATATCTATAAAATGGGAGGATGGAAAGGTTTCAGCATGATAAATTAAATTAGTTTTCTATTATTGCTATAATAAATTACGACAAACTTAGTGACTTAATACAAATTTATATCTTATGATTCAGCAGCTCCTAACTCCCACATGGGTCTTACCAAGCTAAAATCAAGATGTCAACAGGGCTACATTCCTTATCCTAGGTTTGAGGACAGGATGTGTTCCTCACTCATTCAAATTCCTTGTAGTTGTAGGGCCAAGGTCCTAGTTTTCCTTCTGGCTGTCAACTAAAGGTCATTCCCAGCTTCCAGAGATCATTACATTCCTTGGTTGAGGGCCCCCTTCCTTCATCTTCAGAGCAAGTAACAAGAGTTGAGTCCTTAACACACTGCATCTCACTAACCGTTCTGTGATCACATTTCTCTCTTTTTAAAGGCTCTTAACTTTTTAAAAGAGGTTTGTTTAATTAGATTGGGCCCACCTGGATAACTGGGAAAATCTCCTCATCTCAAGGTCCTTAGCCTTATGACATCAGCAAGTCCCTATGACATATTCACAGATTCCCAGAATTAGGGTATAAACATCATTGGGTGCTACTATTCTGTCTACCACATAAGTGCTGAATGAAAGACAGCTATTATCTCTTTAATGGTTAAAGATAAATTTTTGGAGGCTAATAATCCTATTTAATTAATTAAGTTGATTGGTTCAAATAAGTGGTTGTAACCAGGGAACATTTGGCTAGAGACATATTTGGTTGTCACAACTGGTGGGAGTGAGGGACCATTCACACTGGTCCCTAGCTGGTTGAGGCCAGGGATGCGCTAAACAATGCATAGGACAGCTTCCCACAATAAAGAATTATCCACCCAAAACATCAATAGTGCCATGGTTGTGAAACCCTGGTTTTAACTGAACGCTTTGGTGTTTAATTAATCTACGTGGAAATAAAATTTTTACTATGATCAAATGGATTCTCATCAATGCCATAACCAAGTGGTCTCTTTTGTTCCATGGCAGAAAAAAAAAATGTTTTATCTTTGGTTGGAAAAAAAGTTTAGGAGATGATGTTTTATGATATCCTTATCATTTTTGAAACATGGCATAAGTAGATGGTTTATATCCTAATTTTAACCTGGTCTAAGAAAATAGGAATAGACTTATTCTAAACCTTAAATATGTTCATGTATCTATATCTATATCTAGATAGATAGATAGATGATAGATAGATAGATAGATAGATAGATAGATAGATAGATAGTCATTTCTTCACTAAAAACCTAGCAAGGACTAGGCAGGCATTGTTCTAGGCATGCAGGATACATCAGTGAACAATACAAAGTTTCCTGCTCTTATAAGTGATAACATTATAGAGGAGGGAGATAGCCAATGAGGAAAATAAATTTAAAAGTGATAAATTGTGTGAGAAGGGAAAATACTTTGGAAAAAATAGTTCAGAGTCAGAGAGATCAGGGCTGCAGTGGGAAAGGGATGGCAGTGACTTGGGGGAAGCAGGGACCCACAGCAGAGGTATTATATACAGTGGCCAGGGCAGGCCTCCTTAAGAAGTATAACTTGTCTAGTTATGAAGACCAGCTGCCATCTCATTTTCTTAAATTTATTTGCTAAATATTTGCAAATTATATTTGTGAGGCATAAACACTGACATAGCTTTGCACGTCTATTGAATGAGAAAAATCAAATGGAGGAGAGATGAACCCAACAATATCAGCTCATCAAGCTCAGAGCTTGAAACTTGAGCCCTTGAGTTACAAACTGCTTTTCTTTCCTTGAAGTCACTCTGCCTTCTCACTATACTCCAGTGTCAGGAACAAACAGGCATTATGCATAATGAAACTCCTGACTATGGAATAACCCCAGCCACTCCGCACTCAAAAAAAAAAAAAAAAAAAAAAAGACAAGACAACAAAAAAAACAGATCCAAGGACAGTTCAGGTGAATTACAGCTGAGCATATTATTTGTTGGAACAATCCAATGTGCATTATGCCAATTGCATTCCATTTGTCTTTTAATTTGAGTGAAGTGAAACAGGAAAAAGTGTTGATTTAGTGGCTGTACATACCTTCAATCCTTTTCAAAAACTTTAGCTGCTAGAGAAAAGTTAACCTAAAATACTATTAAATAATTCCTTTTTAAACATACTGGTCTAAGTCAAAAACTCTAATTTCTGCCTTTAAATAATGATTTCAAAGTTGAAATAACCAGTGACTTCCTGAAAGATTGGTAGTTCCTAAATTGCAGTATGTCCTGAATTCCCAGAGTTATATTTCTCCATAATTCTTTTTGTTTCATTTTAGTTCTTTTATTAAGTAATTATTTATCGATTTTAAAGAGAAATAGGGTGAGAGAGAGAGAGAGAGAGAGTCAGGGGAAGGAGCAGAGGAAGAGAGAAGAATCCCAAATACATTCAGTTGAGTGCGGAGCCCTACGCAGGGTTTGATCCCATGATCTTGGGATAATGACTAACCAAGAGTTGGACATTTAACTAACTGAGTCACCCAGATGCCCCATCATTCTAGTTCTGGCTACAAATATTAGTCCTTGAATATTTTGAGGAGACAATTCTATAATAAAAGAAAAATCCAATTTAGAATACAATTGTGTTCCTTGCTTTAAGCTGCATCTGAATAAGAGCATGCTATGAAGCATGCTATGAAGCAAGTTAAAACTTGTTGTTGGATTTGATGCTCAACAAATCAAGGAAACAAATCAATATTTTCTGAATACAGCCTGGGGGAGAGCTATAGAAACAGAAGGAATGATATTCTCAGCTTTCCAGGGAGTCCATACAACAGAGTGGGAGCAGACATTTAAAAATTAACTTTCTCCAAACATCTTTTTATGGCTCATTTTGAAAATAGTTCTGGTTACACATTATCCTGCAGTTTGGCTATTTTTTTAATATTCTCCCTCTCCAAATTCATTCCAGTGGGAGCTGCCCATTGGCAGTGGAGGTCCATGATTATCTCACTGTGTATAATTCATTTAGCAGCATAATGTGCTTCTGCAAATGCTGCCACAGCACAAAGAGAAACTGCCAATGTTAGCATTCCAGGGTCATGCAACCTGCCCCACCAGGAACTGTCATTTAGAGGAGACCCCTCCAACAAGCTTTCTCACACTCTGTGCTAACCTAATGCCACCCAAATGTCTCTGGGTGGCAGCTGCTAACACTTCTTCTGTAGGAACAGAAGTGCAGTGACCTAACCCCTCTCCTGCTTTGCTACTCAGTGCCAGGTCCCTGAATAGCAGCATCAGAGACATCTGGGAGCTTGTTAGAAATTCAGGCTCTTGGGCTCCTCCCCAGACCTACTGAATCAGAACCTGCATTTTAACCAGATCTCTAGATGATTAGTGTGCACACTGAAGTTTGAGGAGTTCAACTTGACTGGCTGGAAGCCAAGAATGCCAGAATTCTTCTCCAGTGTTTTCTGAGCTGTCACTATCATTGCTGGTTTTTATAAGCTCTGGGTTTCTGCCTACATCATGGCAGTTATTGTTTTTTTATGTCTAAAACTTTCACATATCTCTCTCACCTGCACTCTATCATACAATAAGGTACTTTTCTATTTAAAACCTGTTTTGTGGGATCCCTGGGTGGCTCAGCGGTTTGGCGACTGCCTTTGGCCCGGGGGGGGGGGGGGGTTCCTGGGGTCCCAGGATCGAGTCCCGCGTTGGGCTCCCAGCATGGAGCCTGCTTCTCCCTCCTCCTGTGTCTCTGCCTCTCTCTCTCTTTCTCTGTGTCTATCATAAATAATAAATAAATAAATAAATCTTTAAACTAAATAAAATAAAACCCGTTTTGTCCTTGTCTTTGACCTTGTACCATTCAGTGGCTTTCGGTGATTAAGATGATAGTAAATGAATACAAACAATTGCTTTTCCATTTTCTTTCTAGATGCTCAGAGATACTGTTGTAGAGAACTATCATTTAGCCTTCCCAGCATCCTGTACCACTTCCTTGCATCCCAGCCCTTCAATCTTCCTCTGGGAAACCACTCTTCTCCATTCTCAGGCCCTATGTTTCAAATGTCCTGAACAGCCTGCTCCTCAGCAGCCACATGAGAGCTTTCACCATCATGGCCTCTTTGTTCAGGTAGCCCATGAATTCCAAGCCAGGGCAGGAGTGCCAGCCACAGCATACCTGATGGGATGAAGTGAAGGAGGCAAGCTCTTCTCTCTATGACTGCTAAGCTGGTAAAACTGAAGCCTGGAGCTGCCTGTGGCCATCTGCTTCCTCTTCCTAAGGAAAGCCTGACAGAAGTTTTCAGAAGCCATTGCTTGAATACTTGAAACATCCTGCATAGATCTGCACCCCTGCTGTAAGCAAGGGCAGACACTCATGGCAGTGAGGCCAGGACTTCTCCTGGTTCTTCCAAAATAAGGCCCTCTTGTGGTTAGAAGAAAGCCTGAGATGAATGTTAATGCTGTTTTTCCTGTAATTGGTTGGGGGCAGGGTGCGGGGGGGGGGGGGTGTCCTGAGAGCCCATTGTTGTGAGTGCTCTTTGGTTTTAATAGGCAACAGTCATCCCTGGCCAGTACTGCCAGCAATATACCCATCCCCCAAGATCCTCA